CACCACCCATTTGTCTGTCTTCTCTGCCATTCCAATCGTTTTCTCAGAAAGAAACTGAAGAAGTCTTGGCAGCCCTTCCGGGCAGTGACCTGCTCCTCTACAAACCTCCGCCTTCTCTCATAGGAGTCTCAGCCATTGCGTCTCCAGTTCTGCTATGCACGTACCACGCGCCCCTCTGTCTTTCCCTCGTCTCCACCACATACTTGTTCACCACTTGGATATCCCGCTGCTGCCCAGAGTCATGGAGATCCCGAGGCCGTGGTTCTGTAGGACCAGTTGCTTTTTTTCTCTGGCAGCTCACAGATGGGGTAGATGTTAGGGTGGACCAACACAAGACCCTGGATCTGGGCTCTGCTGGGCCTTCCCACCCCAGAGGTGTGAGGCCAGCTCTCCCACACCCACACCACAGAGCAGGCCAGCTCTCCTGTGCCCAAGTCACTGCTGATGCTGCAGGTCAGCGAGGAGTGGGATCAGCTCTCCAGAGTGCTCAGGCCAGAGAGGGGTGAGGTCAGCTCTCCTGCAGTCAGTGAGGGTGGGGTCAGCACAGCATGTGCACAGAACAACATACCCTCAGATGGCAACCCAGACCACAGACGTCTGCATGGCCTTTGGTGGTAACACAGGTCACAGACATCAACACAGACTCTGACTACGGTAGGACCACAGACCCAGACCCTTTGCCATAGCTCAGGCCTGGATATTACCGTGGACTCAGGGGCTGTGCAGGGGGCTGTGCAGGCTCCTCTCTCGGCCTGTTTCTCACGTGTCTCCAGTTTCATCTCTCCATGGCACATGAACCACTCTGCTTCTTTTTTTTCACCCATCTCTCCGCCATGTAACGCTATCTTTCCCATCTCCCCATTGCATATTTGTTTATTGTAGTGGTGCTTACTGGGATGCATGCTTGGGTATCTCCCAGCAACCTAGGGCCTCCGGGGCTGGAGTGGGGGTCCACTACTCCCTCTTGACTCCACCATCCCATCCATAAATCCCAACTCCATCTACCCATCCTTTCATTACACAGGGATCAATGAATGAATAGGCATCCTTTCATTCCTTCACCTCACTAATGAGACATCTAATCAACAATTAATAGGTTAATTTTAATTGAATGTTTAAATCACATTATAAATATATTAGGATAAATAGAATACATTATGAAAATGAGTTTCCCCTGTTCTTACATTGCGACTACTAGAAAAATGCAAATCACACATGTGACTCACATTTATGCCTTGTACTATATTTACATTAGACAGTGAGAATTTATACTATCCATCATCCATGTACCCTCCATCCCACCACTTTCCTACCCATGATTCATCTACCCACCTATCCATCCATCAACCATTGTTCACCTATCTGTTCCCCTGTCCATCATTCATTCATTGGTCCTTGTATTAATTGATCAATCAACCAATCCATCTATTATCCATCTATCTATATATTAATCCATCCATCCATCTACCCATCATTCTTTGATTTCTTCCTTTATCTATGTGTTCACAATTCATCCACCCATCCATCTAAATATGCATACATCATTCAATCATTTATCCCTTTTCTATCTAGCTATCAATCCATCCATTCATCATCCATCCTCCATCAGTCCCTGCCTCAATCCATCCATCATTTTTCTGTCCTGTATCTACTGATCCACCTGTGTATCCCTCATTCATTTGTGCCTGCACCAATCTGTCCATTATTTTCTTCCTTCTTTCATCTTTCTCACTTACCACGTGTCTCCATCTCATAACACGTATCTGAGAGAGAGAGATATTTTTTATCTATCATGAATCAGAGACTGTGGGTCAGAAGAATGGAGAAACCAAGGCTTCTATATAAAGAACTTGCCTAAGGTAGGACAGATGGAGCTAGGCTCTGTTTCTATTAGATCAGGGCTCCTCGTTTTTCACTTTGGCTGCTTATTTGTTAGATATCTTTTAAGATAAAAACAATCCTTTGGGCGAACATGACAAGCTTGTGTTGGGGGTGGCTGTTGGAATAGAGGCCTAAGAGCTCCTATCCCTGAGGCGACCACACAGTGTGGAGAGAGACAGACCCTTTAGAAGCCTCTGTGAGCCTATCCCTGGTGGCTGACATGAAAGGGTTATCCCCACACATTCAATATTTGCAAAAAAATGTGGGTTCTTTCAGATTCCAAAACTCATTTCCATGACAAAACTCTTGGGGAGAGAAGATGAAGGCCTGGCTTTTGCAGAACAATCTTCCAGCTGTAATGAGGACTGAAGATGGCAGTGGGGAAAGGAATTATAATTAGAATATGAAATGGGGAAAATTAATCTATTCCAGGCAATGGGAAGAGGATGTCCTGACGTTTCAGAGTAATACTTAGGCTGTTGTCCCCCTGTGTTTCTTCTGCGCATTTTAAAGCACGCAGAGGACTGTGTCGTGTGAAAAACGACTTTCGGTGGAGGGACCCATACACTGTGAGATGTGCACAGCATTTCGCCCCCGTGCCGCCTTTTAATGTGTCTCGGAACAAGAAATGCATGTCGCCTTCGCACTGATGTGAGTTCCAGCAGACAGCTGCAGGTGTGCGGTGTGTTTCTGCTGTCAGCCCCTCCTTTCCTGACTGTGCGCTAGGAGTGTGTGCCCGTTTCCCACAGTCTGACAATGGACCCTGTGCTTGTGCTCTGAGCACATCGGTTGTGTCGTGTGTGGATATGAGACCTGTGGGGCTGAGCTGGGTATGACGTGGGTCCACACGAACCTGGGTCTGAGGAACATGGATGTCCACGCTCTCTGTTCCCCTCAGCTTGTCCTGGGAAGTGGGGGAGATGTGTTTGTCTTTGGGTCTGAATACACATGGAGGAAGGAGGCTCTGTTCTGTCTGTGGGAAGGGGTAGCCTGTGACTCTTTTCTTGGCGTTCTTGTCCTTTTACCAAAAAGAGTCCTCCATGAGGAAGGGAGCAAGGGAGAAACCTCAGGCCTTTGTTCCCGGAGGCCAAGGAAGAAGAAGCTCCTGAGTCCTTGGGGATCACCCTTACCTCACTTCCTGAATCCAAGTTCTCTGCCGGGCATGGCTTTAACAGAGGTGGGGAGACAGCTGCTCTCCTTCTGCCTTTGCCCTTGTGCACATCTTCTCAGCCAAGCATTCTTCAGGATACTGTGTGAGGTGCCCAAGACTCCCCAAATTGAGGCAGACCAAGGCTCTACAGGAACAGTCCACCAACAAAGTCCTTCCTCTAAGCCAAAGCAAGCTTTACTCTAGCCTGTGACAGCTCTTTCCTCTACATTGCTTGAATTGACGGATGCATGAATGAATGGGTGAGCCTATTTGTGAGACTCTGGTGACCTCACAGGAACCCAATGCCCTGCCCCCCTTATCTGCCCCCAACCCCCTTGTCAAACTTCAGGAGGGCTTCCTGCCCAAGGCCATAGTTCACTGCTCACTCTGGATAACTCTTCCCTCTCCCAAGTCTCCAACACACTTTTCAAGCGTCCGCTGTGTCTAGGGCCCTGGGCTGAATGTTGATGGATCTAGAAAAGCCTTGGTCTCTGCTTAGAGGGAGCTTGCAGCATGATTGGGAAGAAACCTGGCGAATCAAGCAAATGGCACTTGTGTGGTCTTTTCCCCGCTGAGCGACTAGCCCACTCTTTGTGTTTCCTTGATGTTCAGGGAGGAAAGAATGCTGTCCTCTTTTTACCATTGAAATCTTCCAGAGAAAGCATGCCTCCCAGAGCTAGGTAGGGTCATTCATTCGCCACATTGGGTTTTGTCAGACAGGCATTTTTTTCCCTGCTAACTGTCTTTTAACCAGAGTTTAATAATTGATGGCTATTAACACAGGAGCTGGGGGACATCTTCTAGTCTGTTTTCTTGTTATGATGCATCACTAACTTGGCAGCATCCTGTTTAGTTGCTGTTGTTTTAGGACAGGTCTCAGCTCTCTGGTTAAGCTTCTCCTCCATGCCCAGCATGAAGTCCTGGATCCCTGGGAACATTGGGCATGGTAGGGGAATCCAGTTTGAGCAGTGAACACAGTAAACCTTAGAGCGTGCTAGAAAGACATAGGCTGTCTTTAGACAGGAGGTGGTAGCAGGGGAGGCTGTCTCTCTGGGCCCACGGGGTAGGTCCGGCCTCCGGGCAGGCTGATATACACAGTTCTAAGGGAAGGGCTTGAACAGGCGTGTAGAGTTCTATGCCATGAGGCTGCACAATTGTGTTCACACAAATTAGTTCCCCAGGGAAGCTCACACCCTTGTGCAATGACTAATGTGGCCGTGTTGAAATACAAAAGAGAGAAAGTTCGCTGGGCCACAAGCTCTGCTAGTTGTCTATGCTGCCTTCTTACTGTGGAATTCTGGGGACTGGCAAAAGTGGTTATCTTCTGATATAGGTCACATTCCAAGATGTGCTTCCATCAGAAAAATGAGACACATCAGTAACTGTCGGCGGGGCCTGTGCTGCTTCTGCCCGTGGTAGGCAGTTCTGCCCAAATCCAGAAGTGGCAGATTCTCCAACACATTGTGTCCTCTTTCCAGGGTCCACTACACTTCCTCACACCTGTGGCCATGAGCCTAAAAGGAGACAGAAGTGGGGACAAAGTCACTTAGGGTAGAAAGATGTAGTGCACATCTCTGGGGCAGGCTGTCATTGGCTCCAAGGCCCTTCCCTGGCACATGAGATTCCACGTTAGCTGACTGCCTCAGTCATTTTGGCCAGAAGAGTCATTTGTATACTTGCAGGGGCGGGCTGCTCAGGGTCCGGCCAGACAGCCTGCTGTGTCAGAAGGCAAAGTACCAACAACAGAAGGCCCTGCCCATCTTTGTCCTCTGTAAGATTGATGGTCCTGACCTGAGCTTCCAAGGGCCACAGAACAAAACAGGGGCCGTTGGCATCCTGGGCGCCAGTGCCTGCTTCTGCAGCCCTCACACCCCCTTTCTCTCAGCACCATCCCCTGACCTCCTTGGGACACAAGTCCCGTTTCCCTCCAGGAGCATTTTAATGAGAGCCGCTTCTGTCTTTGTTCTAGTTTGATGGTGACAGTGCCTACGTGGGGATGAGTGACGGAAATCCAGAGCTCCTGCCAACCAGCCAGGTGAGTGCCCCTCCTCCCTGAGGGGGTCTGAGCCTTGGGCTGGTGGAGCCAAGATGTGGCTGGCATCGAGGTAGGAGGGCTGCAGTTGCCAGAGTTGTAGGACATGGCCTAATGCTATTCTCTCAGTTGGCTCCTTATGAGGGACTGTCAGGGCAGGACTGCGGTGCCAGCTGTGAGTGATGTCCCTGAATACCACTGGCTTACAGTGGGCATCGCCGAGACCTTAACACTCCAAGTGTCTCACCCACATTTCCTGTGTGAGGGGCAGATTTCACAACGGTGATTTGTGGTGTCCCATACTCTGTGCTGCCGTCTCCCGCCTACATAGCATCTGGAGTGTGTGTCTACACACAGGAGAACAGATTCTACCCATCACACAGAATCAGTTGTCTCAGACCACTGAGGAGGCTGGTGGAATTGATGCAAAGGACAAAGGGAAGAGGCTTCCTGGAAGGTCCTCTCTGGTGATCCGGGCCTCTGGGGCCATAGATGGGATCAGATTTCCCACAGAGAATCGAAAGTTGACATTTCTTACCTATGAGCATCCTCACTACAGACTGTGAACAGGGAGGGGGTCCTTGTTGATGTCTGGCAATATGGAGAATGGCACCCTAAGGCAGGAGAGCCTGCAGGATGGTAACAGCCAAAGATGCCAGATGGGGCCAAGGAGTTTCCCAGCTACTGGGAACCTTGGGGAGCCGGAGGACAAACCTGGTCCTGCTCTTGGCTTCTACCTCGGTCTTGGCAATTGAAGTTGGCTGGCCTCTCAGCCATCATGATTGGTTCATATTTTCTGGCTGGAGGAAACAAAAGCCTCTTAATTCACAGGCATAATTGCCTCATTCTGTGACAGGTCCCAGGGGGCTATAAAGATGTGAGCCCGTGGCCCGTGGAAAACTCTGCTAATGAGGAATATAATGTAGCCCAAGTTGCAGAGATGCCGATACCGGGGTGCCACACCCCACCCCTTCTCTGGCCTGTCCCACATGAGCACTATGTTGTCCCTGAAAAGCTGTCTTTATGTTGTTATTGCATGTGCCAGCCTGCAGGAATGGCGGGCGATAATTCCAAGTCCTGGGTATGTCGCAATGCAATACCTGGTTGTCCAGAATCAGCTTGGAAACACGATCATCCCAGATAATCAAGACTTACTCTGGACCTCTGAGTCCCCGAGTCCACAGCGAACTTCATAGCAAGCTGAGCTGAGCTCTGACTTCAGAAACTACCCAACACCTCCTCAGGGAGCTGTTTGTGACCTCCAGTTCCAAACTAGGACCAGTATTTTTTGTCACAACACCAGTTGGTTTTAATTTCTGCCTTCGCTACTCTCTGTGGTCATCTACCATATCTGTGGGATGGCTTAGCTCTTGTCTGTTTCCATTCAAGACTGTGACCTCCATGGCAAAACTGCCATGCACTCCGTAAGGTTGTGGCTGTCACTCAGAAAGCGGTTCAGGAACACTGGTGTGACTTGTGAAGGTGGCCTTTTTTATCTGTCTTTCGAATTCCACCTTCCCTAACAGGAGAACAGGATAGGTGGGCTTCTTAAGAATTCTTCTAGAACTTTTTGCTGTCACCAGAGGGTCTGCCTACCTTAAAATAGGACATTAGGAGCTGGGTATAATGATGCACACCTGGAGTCCTAGCATTTGGGAGGCTGAGGTTGGAAGACAGTGAACTTGAGACCAGGCTTAGCTACTGACTGCATATACCTAGTTTGGCAATACTCCATCTAGTAATAGTAGCGGCAATAATAAATAATAACTAGAATTCTGTAAGTTTAAGCTCAGCCAGTGACACAAGCCAAATTTATTACTGTCAGCTTTGCAGAGGCAGCCTACACTTCTCATAGTATACCATCTTGTTGAGAAAACAAGCACCTCACAATACAGTGATGAAGACTACCACGTGTAGCGGTCCAGGCTTGTACTGGCTGGCAGTTTGGCTGGGCATAGCTGGGCAGCAGCAGTAAGATCCGGAAAAGCCTCTTGCTAGTTGATGGGGAGGTTGACTTCTGCCCCTTGGGAGCTATTGTGCCCCAGATGACTAGCCTGAGGCTGATTGCAGCTTGGGAACAGGTTACCCAGCGTAGCAAGCCCAGAAGCTGCCAGACCTCTTGAGGCCTAGGCGTGGACATGGTCTATCATTACTCCGGCTCCATCCACTGGCCAAAGCTAGGCACAGGGCAGTATAGATCCAAGCAGCGGAAAGTGGATGCTAGCTCTTGAACAGAGGAACTGGAAGATACTGGAGGCTTTTTGCAAATGGCCATGAGGGAAACAGAGAATATAAAGTTCATGCTGGTCTTGCTGATGGATTAACTCAGGCTTTTCTAGGACGCTGAGACTCAGTGGGATCCTACTGACCTCTGGCTTTTAATGGCAAGAGGTGGCCATGTACTCTCTGTTTTCCCTGGAGTCTGTATTTGAACACACACACACACACACGCACACACACACACACGTACACGTGCATACACACATACATACACACATGCCCCTTTCACGGGTGTTGTCTTATCAGTTGCAGGAATTGTCCTATTCCAGTTCCTGTAGGACCCATGTGGGCATGGAGAGAATGAAGGTGTCAAAGGCCAAAGACATTTTATTCCTTGTCTGTATGTTTACCTCCCAGGTTCACTCAAGCAGCAAGGTTCCCTGGGTACCTTAGGATTCAAAGGCCCTGAATCTGAGCAGGAAGCCCTGTCGAGCAAACACTAGCTTCTAGGATGTTCCAAGCAGCATCCTTAGGAGTCGGCCTGATAAAGATCAGTTCTCTCCTGGCTGAGAGCAGCCCCAGAGCTGCTGGGATCTATAGGTCCAGGTTGCATGCTCCAGGAAGAAGGGGAGCCTACCGGGGAAGGGCTTGAACTCCCAAAGACCTGGACTCACATCCCTGCTCCTCTGTGCCTGGTACAGGCCAGATGTCTTTATGTAATGATGTCAGGTTTCTACTAAGGGGAAGAATGGCACTCACCTCCTGGAATCCTGGGAGAAGTAAATGAGTCAGGGCCTTAGGGGCTGCTGGCACTGTGCCAGAATCTCTTCGACAGTCTAAGGTACCCAGGTCAAGCTGCTATGAGTTTTGACTGCTAACTTAGCTAGAAAACTGACTTCTGACAAATGGGAGCCAGGTCCTAGGAGGAAGTGAGGCAGTCAGAAAGCCAAACTTATTTTTCCAAAGGATAAACTTGCTTTGCAGATCCCCATTGTAACCCCCATGGAGGCTGCATCCTGGCCATGCTGCAACCTACACTCCTTCCTTGTTCCCGACATTCCCGCTCCTTCCTACCCTGAGGCTCGTCAGAGGAATTCTCATCTCAGGCTTTGGGCGAATCTAAACTAAGAGCAAAACACCAGTGTTCAGAGAAACCAGTGATGACTTATTTCTATTGTTTTATTCCCATAAATAATGTCCTGGTTACACGGGATGAGCATCTGGCCTCCTCCATGTCAATACAAACACTGCTTCCTCTGTGGGAAGCCCCTAGACATTCCTGCCCAGCAAATGTCTGTCCCTTCCAGGTACCACAAATGCTAGTCTCATGATGCCTTCCTGGCTGTGGATAGTTTCCAATTTTATGGCTGTAAATAAGATTTACATGAGAGTTCTCAAGAGTTTTTCCTAAGAACGTCTGTGTGTGTGTGTGTGTGTGTGTGAGAGAGAGAGAGAGAGAGAGAGAGTGAGAGAGAGAGAGAGAGAGAGAGAGAGAGGAGAAAGACACACACACACACACACACAGACAGAGAGAGAGAGAGAGAGAGAGAGAGAGAGAGAGAGACGGGGAGGGAGGAAGGGGTGAATGGATTGAGAGGAATAATACAAGGTTTGCCAAATCTCTCAGTAGCATGATTGGACACAAGGAGACCCAAGAGAGGGTCTGGATTATGCAGGTGAAGGATCCTAGACTGTAGGAGAGGTAGAGGAGATGCAGACAAGTAGATGGTCTGGGGTGTGAGCTTGGGAATCAAGCTAGTAGATGTTGAGGATGACAGATGCAGAGAAAGAAAGAAGGAAGAAAGGCATGCAGCTGGTCTGCCACTGCTTCCAGCTCCATCCACTGGTCACAGGCTCCACATGGCTGTGCTGTCTTCTGCCTTGGGGAAGGGCAGGCTTGATGGGAGCAGTCTTGGCCATCTGACATGTGAGGGGCTCATTTCAATGGAGACATCGAAGTAGTTAGATGGCCATCCGAGTCTGGAGCCATCACATACACTGTGAATTCTCAGCCCACGGATCAAAGCCCTGGGGGTTAATGAAACTTCTGAAAAGTGAAATGAATGGGGAGAGCAGATTGCTGAATGATGGCCCCATCCCTTCCTTTTAAAATGGAGTCTTTCTGTGTCCTTCCACAGAGTCTTAAAAGCCACAGGCAGAGTGTATCAAGGAGGAGGGGAGGGTTAGGGAAAAATGATGTTGGATCCACAGCCCCTTTCCTGTCTAGAATGATAAAATTAAAACTAGGCACAGCAGCCCAGACCCTGGCGGCGAGAGGATCACAAGTTCAAGGTCATCTTCAGTCGCACAACAAATTCAGTGTCAGCCTGGACTACACAAAACTGTCTCAAAAAATTTAAAGGCAAATTTTAAATCAATTGAAGATTTAAATGTCTGAGATAAGTCATAGGTGAACCAATAAGACCTCCTTTAAAGTATTTCATGGTTTTGGGCAGGGGGACACTTTTGCTGGACACTTTAGAAGAAAAAGATTGAAAAACTAGACCACAAACTAACATAGAATGACTTTTTGTAACACAAGAACGCCAGAGTGAAGATGCAGGTGGGAAATTGGACAAGAGTACTTTCAGCTCACAACCTAGATGAAGGATGAACTTCCTTAAGAAATAAAGACTTACGAGAAATCAATTCAAAATCGTCATGGAGAGAAGGGAAGGAGATCCGAGCCAATACTTTACCGAAAGGAAATGCATAAGGGAAACATTAAAGTTCTCATTTGACGTTTCATTCCAGCAACAAATCCCAAGGTCCTATGACACATT